AGACAGAACAGAGAGAGAACAAGTAAGATAGACAGAACAGAGAGAGAACAAGTAAGATAGACAGAACAGAGAGAGAGAACAAGTAAGATAGACAGAACAGAGAGAGAACAAGTAAGATAGACAGAACAGAGAGAGAACAAGTAAGATAGACAGAACAGAGAGAGAGAACAAGTAAGATAGACAGAACAGAGAGAGAGAACAAGTGGACCCACCAGTTCGAGAGTTGGAGGAAAGAGAAGCTCACAACATGAAGTAGTACTTGTTTTTTTAGTTTAGTTTTAATAGAGGTTTTACGGCGCTCGCAACTGCATAAGTTCATATGAGCGCCAGAAGATTAGAGGTGTTACAAGAGAGTAACAAATATAAAAAAGAAGAAGGGGAAATAAGGGCGATAGATGTTTGATAGGGAAGAAGAAGCAAACCACACCAGAGCACCCGCCAACCACCCACGTAGCACTTGTTTGCTCACGGATACCGCAAACCAGACATCCAAAGACACAATAAGAGTCAACACAAAGACACAATAAGAGTCAACACAAAGACACAACAACAACACAAAGACACAACAACACAAAGACACAACAACAACACAAAGACACACAACAACACAAAGACACAACAACACAAAGACACAACAACAAGAGTCAACACAAAGACACACCACAATAAGAGTTAACACAAAGACACACCACAATAAGAGTTAACACAAAGACACACCACAATACGAGTTAACACAAAGACACAACAACACAAAGACACAACAACACAAAGACACACCACAATAAGAGTTAACACAAAGACACAACAACACAAAGACACAACAACAAGAGTCAACAAAAAGACACACTACAATAAGAGTTAACACAAAGACACAACACAAAGACACACAACAACCCAAAGACACAACAACACACAACAACACAAAGACACACGACAACACAAAGACACATGAAAACACAAAGACACACGACAACACAAAGACACACGACAACACAAAGACACACCACAACACACAAAGACACACCACAACACACAAAGACACACCACAACACAAACACACACAAAGACACACCACAACACAAAGACACACGACAACACACAAAGACACACCACGACACACAACAACACAAAGACACACCACAACACACAACAACACAAAGACACACAACAACACTTACCTTTGAGCATGTGACCATGATGCCATCACAGAAGCGCAGATGTAGCACGGCCTCACAGTGGTGGATCAATGTGTTCATCATCTCCCCACTGTGGATGTCCCACACCCTGCACACAACACACATAACACACACGTCAAAATAGTGGATGTCCCACACCCAGCACACAACACACATAACACACACGTCAAAATAGTGGATGTCCCACACCCAGCACACAACACACATAACACACACGTCAAAATAGTGGATGTCCCACA